TGTGATGCTCATAGATTTTACGAGGAAACCTTCTAGTGCCCAACTAGAAGTAAAACCTCGACCCTACCTTAGGGATTTCAAACACAAATAATTCCACTATAATAGGGCAAACACCAAGTTACAACCTATTATAATTCAGCCACTACTCTCAAGTTCCAGAATGAACTTGCTACAGAACAACACCTTGTTCTACCCAGTTTGAGTCCCACACTCAAACTCACTCGTACTCCCTAAGTACAGATCTTCCCCCTTCTCACCAGAAGCTCTCTCTTTATGCAATGATAAAAATACTCTCACCCAAATTAACCCGAAACCAAATACAAGAATTAACACCTAGTATATGATCGGGAAGCTATGCATGAAACTCGAAACTAATATGACAATATGATAAGCTTGGAAAACTTACGCAACTATAGCTCTGTAAATTCTTCACGCATCAAACTCACAAAAACCTAGGCTCATGTTATTCTCTACTATTTATACGAGTATTACCTGTATAAACAGTAGGTTTACATAACGATAAATAAGTAAAACTTAACTTATCTTAAAACACGGTTTTTTAATTAAATCCTTTGAAGAAAATCTTTTCAGAAAATAAGATAGAAATATTGAATTTAAAAGCATAATATCAACAAACTGATTTCAAAAGATAAATATTTAAAGAAAATCTTTTTCCGATTTCTATCTTTTATCTTTTCCGATTTTAATTTATTTGCCAAGCTAACTGTCACGCTTCTAATAAGTTTCATGCATATCCTACTTAACATATTTAACAATGAATCTAGAAGATAAAATCTTAACTAAAACATTGCTGCACTGTACTCTTGTTCTGGTAGGTTTACTTGGACTCCACGCTTACTAAGTTCCTCCACAGATCTTAGTCAGCAATCTTCAAGTTCCTGTGAAGGAAAGTTCATGTGAGGGAACTCAGCTCCTGTTAGGGAACTCTTCTTTTATATTGAATAACTTTCTTGATAAAGAACTCCTTCAAGTAGATCAATTTCACCTAGGCTGCACAAACACTTGAAAAGTCTTTATGAGATGAGTTTGCTGTAACTTAAGTTCCTCATCATCAAAACCTTTAAACATTAACAATTTTCCCCTTGTTGATGATGACAAACTTAAGAAAACTCTTGAGAAAGTTAAAACAAAATAAAAGATCGTATTTTTGTATTTTAATTTTATTGACAGAAAATAAACACACAACAGAAATAAAACAAAAACAAAAAGTAAGCTAAGTAAACTAAAAGTAAACTAAACTGAGAAAGTTATGATACTTTCTCAACTGGAACCCAGAACAACTTCAACCTCCATGTTTGCTTCTTCTTTTCCCCCTTTTGGCATTATCAAAAAGTCCTGTATTTTCAAGTTTATGAAACATCCACCAACAGCCCCACAAGCAATTCATCGAGTGTGGGAAACTAAAGGCAGCGCTGTTAAACAACCTCAAGTAAGATCTACTCTTCAGCATAAGTGTTCGAAATATACACAACATACAAGTATAAGCAAGAGTTCCAACTTTTCATTAAAAATATTTAACATCCAGATGAACAATTTTAAAAATTTACAATCAAAATCAATTGTTCAAATACTTAAAAACGAAAATTAAATATGTTCATAACAAAGACAGTGAGAGAAAAAGCTAGTCTGATTTTGAGATGGGGTAAGCTGAATTTGAGATGGGGTAGGCTAGGTTTCAAGAAACTCCAGAATCTTGTTGAAGTCCTCCTTTGTTTGCTTTGCAGAGGCCTCCAACTTTTCTTCAACCCCCTTGAGCTTCACTAGGAACTCCTCCTTCCCTTCCAGTAGAGCCTTGTGAAGTTCTTTCTCCTGGAACTCCTTCTGTTCTTGAAGGTCCTTGGTCTGTTTGAGCGTCATTCTCTTGAGTTCCTTCAACTCCTTCCCCTGCTCCTGGACCAATTTTTCAAGTGTCAGCACATGAAGTTTTCCAGCAGAGTCCTTCATTTGACTCTCTACCCTCTCCATTCTGTCAGCCAACTCAGCAACTTGCCCTTCAAGGATATTCTCCTCGACATCCAATTCCAGTGGTTGTTCCATGCTAGTTTGAGGAACACCACTGGAAGAAATCCTCCTACTCTTCCTTACAGGCTGCTTTGACATAGCCTTTTCCTTCCTCTTCCCTGTCACTTTTTCTTTCATTTTGTCTCCTTTTTCTAACTTCTGAATTTTTCCTTTTACAACTTCCAAACTTAACCCAGCAAGGGTTTCCTCATTGATCACATTTTTTGGCTTCTCATTCAAAGCCCCATATTTTCATTTTAAAATCACTCCTGCATTTTCAAAAACAGTAGACAAAATGGCCCCATACCCCACTTTTATCCTACTTGTAACACAATGAGCTAAATGCTGATACATCAAAGAAGGAAAGTTCACCTTAATCTTCTTTGAAATGCAGAAGATTACAACCATATCCAGTAAACATGCCTCCCCCTTTTTAGCAGTCCTATGCATAATAGTCTTTTTCACCAAATTAAACAGCAGCTTATTTAGAGGGCTTAGATCATTATGACTCATGACCTTCTTACCCCTCTGTCCTCCTAATTCCTCTACTATATCCCCAGCCATGAAATTTCCTACATTGATACTACCCTTTCCCTTCAAGTAAGTATCAAAACCTTCAGTAGAAGCTTTTAGAATTTTACCTAGAGTTTCTAGGTCCAATTCAATCTTTACATCATTCACCATGCTCGTTATTATTCCCAATTTTGCCTGAAAATTCTGGCAAAATTCATTCATAGCAGCAGGATACAAGTAATTTGATGAAACCGTAGTCAACAGAAATTCCCAACCTTAAAATTTTATTAAATCAAGAAACTCTAAAAATCTTGCTTTTCTACACCACACAGCGTCAAGACGATGACCTACTACATACCTTCCTGCCATTGATTCAAGTTCCTCTTGATCAGTTACCTCCTCTTCTTCATCTTCCTTTTCCGATTCTTCCTTTTTTGAGTTGTTCTCCTCTTCTTTTTCTTCCTCTTCTCCCTCACTTATTTCTTCTTCCTCTCTGTTCTCCTCTGTTGTCTCTTCCGGGTTTTTCTCTTTCTCAAATTCATCAACTTCCTCAATGTGCTCTTCCAGAGACTTTACACTTTGTTTTCTTTCCTTCCACTCCTTTAATTTTTGAAGAACATTCGAGACAGAGGAATCCCCTTGATCGATTTTACTCTCTACTTCTTTTGGTTTTGGAGGAGATTTCTTAAGGTTTTCAGAAGGTGTTTGAGAGGTAGAAGATGCTTTGTAGTTTACCATGGATAAAGGAGATGATTCTTCCTGAATTGAATTTTCTGGACTTTAGGATTCTTCAGAGGAAACAAACTCAGCAATGATCACCATTGAAGCTTAAGGAAGGGTTTTAAAGGGGTTATCAAAGTTATGCTGAGAGGGAGTAAATTTGATGTGACAGTGAGGTGAAAGAAGTGGGTGAAAATTTTCTTTTATTATAAATGAAGCGGTGTGAGGGAATTTAGGAAGTTTTTCACTGTTTATATATTAATTGAACAAATTCAATTTATTTTTCAAAATTTAAACACTGAACGAATATTTCAAAAAAATTTAAATTTCCAAATTCAATTAATCTTGAATGAAGTTTCTATAAAACACAATTGGAACACGCTTTCAGCATGTATGTAATGTACAAATTTAATAACTTAAGCTGTTGAGCAATTTAATGAACTTACCTTTGGCAGTTAACAACGGTGACACTTTAGCTATGTTTATCACACCAAGTTTGTGGTAGAAGTTCTTTTTGCTCTATTTACAATATTTTTTACTTTGCCATATCTTGAAACTTCAGAGGCTAGTACTTCAGCTTGATCATTCCACGTTCCAGTCTCAATTTCTCAAATCTTTCTCTGTTCAAGGGCTTGGTTAGAATATCAGCAATTTGATTTTCAGTTTGACAAAATTCTAACTTAATATTCCCTTGCTCCACATTATCTTTAAGAAAGTGATGCCTAATGTGGATATGTTTTACCTTTGAGTGTTGAACTGGATCTTTAGAAATACATATAGCACTTGTATTATCACAATAAATAGGAACACAATAAAAAATAATACCAAAATCTCTGACATGTTGTTTTATCCATAAGACTTGTGAGCAACATGCTGCTGCAGCTACATACTCAGCTTCTGCTGTGGATAAAGCAACTGTGTTTTGCTTCTTGGAACCCTAAGAAACTAAACAAGGTCCTAAAAATTGTACCATACCTTAAGTGCTTTTCCTGTTTACCAAGTCACCTGCATAGTCAGCATCTGTAAAACTATTCAAATTAAAAGAATCACTTCTAGGATAGAAGAGACTCAAATCGTCAGTTCCTTTCAGGTATCAAGGATTCTTTTTACTGCTGTCAAGTGAGACTCCTTTGGATTTGCTTGGAACCTGGCACACAGACCTACACTAAAAGATATGTCAGGTCTACTAGCTGTTAGATAAAGTAGTGAGCCTATCATACCTCGATACATAGATTGATCAATGCAAGTTCCTGATGGATCTTCATCCAATCTAGTAGCAATTCCCATAGGAGTATTGTTGGTTTTGGCATTTTCCATCTTGTATTTCTTGATCAGTTCCTTAATATATTTTTGCTGATGAATCATAATTCCCTCTTCAGTTTGCTTAATTTGCAAACCAAGAAAGAAATTTAATTCTCCAATCATGCTCATTTCAAATTCCCCACTCATAAGGTCAGCAAAATACTTGCACATATATTCGTTAGTTGCACCAAATAAAATATCATCAACATAAATTTGTACAACTAAGATATCAGTTCCATTTGACTTTAAAAACAATGTTTTATCAATTTTGCCACGTTTAAAACCATTAGCCAAAAGGAACTTAGATAATCTTTCATACCATGCTCTAAGAGCTTGCTTTAACCCATAAAGAGCCTTGTCAAGCTTATAGACATGGTTTGGGAACTCTGGATTTTCAAATCCAGGAGGTTGTTCCACATAGACTTCCTCATTTAAGTATCCATTTAAGAATGCACATTTGACATCCATCTGGTACAGCCTAAAACCCATATAAGCAGCAAAAGAAATAATAAAACGAATAGCTTCTAACCTGGCTACAGGTGCAAATGTTTCTTCATAGTCAACTCCTTCTTGCTGGTTGAAACCTTGTACAACTAGTCTAGCTTTGTTCATGACAATAATACCATGTACATCTAGTTTGTTTCTGAATACCCATTTTAGTCCAATGGACTTCTTGTCTTTAAGTCTAGGTTCCAGATGCCAAAATTTATATCTTTCAAATTCATTTAGTTCAGCTTGCATAACATTAATCCAGTCTGCTTCAGTTAAAGCCTCAACATAATTTTTAGGTTCCATGGAAGAAAGGAATGCATTGAATGCACAGAAAATCCTAAGCTGAGATCTGGTTTGAGTTCCTTTTGTGATGTCACACATGATTGTGTCAACTGGATGAGATTTCTGATATTTCCAGGGCCTTGGAGTGAAATCTTTGATTGGATACATCCTCTCTTCATTATTGTTGACTGGTTCTTCTATAGGAACTTGATTCTGGAACTCAGGTTGAACTTCTTCAGGAGTTTCCACATTTTGGCCTTCATTATGATTTTCAATCTGTTCTTGAAGTTGAGTTCCTGGTGCATTCTCCAACTCTGGTTGAACATTTGCTTCAGGATTTGTTACTTCTGCAGTTTCAAAAGGCTGCTTCTTGCAGTGATACTGATTCCTCAAATGGATTTTGCTTACGTACAAGTCCAATCTCGAAATCATCATCACAATCCTGTACATCAACCAAATTTTCAGTCTCATCAAATATAATATGTACAGACTCCTCAACACACATTGTTCTTTTATTATAAACTCTATAAGCTTTACTATTTGAGGCGTATCCTAAGAAAACTGCCTCATCACTACGTTCATCAAACTTTCCCAAGTTCCTTTTACCATTATTGTGAACAAAACATTTGCAACCAAAAGATCTAAAGTAAGAAATATTAGGTTTTCTCCCTTTCATAAGTTCATAAGGAGTTTTGTTAGTGATGGCCCTAACAGATACACTGTTGAGTATATAACATGAAGTGTTCACTGCCTCAGTCCAGAAATTCCTAGGCAGCTTGCTTGATATCAGCATTGTCCTTGCCATGTCTTCAAGACTCCTATTCTTGCGTTCCACTACTCCATTTTGTTGTGGAGCTCTTGGGGCAGAGAAATTGTGATCCATACCATACTCATCACAAAATTCATCAAATTTTGAATTCTCAAATTCTGATCCATGGTCAGATCTAAGATGTATCAACTGATTACCTGTTCTTCTCTGTTCTTTCACAACAAAAGCAACAAACTCATCAAACGTTTCATCCTTGCTTACAAGAAAGAAAACCCAAGTGAACCTTGAAAAATCATCAACAATAACCATTACATATTTCTTACCACTTCTACTTTGCATTCTCATTGGACCACAAAGATCCATATGAATGAGTTCCAAAGGTCTTTTGGTACTTACCATCTTTTTGGACTTGAAGGAAATTCGGGTCTGTTTACCTTTAGCACAAGCTTCACACACTTTATCATACAGGAACTTAATGCAAGGAAGTCCTTCACTAAGTTCTTAGATCTTAGTTTATCAAGTAAAGAAAAGCTTGCATGGTCAAACCTTTTGTGCCACAACAGAGGATCATCCTCAATAACACTAAGACATGTTAAACTGTTGTTAGGAACCTCGTTAAGATCCACAACATATGTGTTCCCTTTACGAGTTCCTTCTAAAATTATGTCCCCAGTGTCATTGTGGATGATTCTACACTTGTTTGAAGTAAAGCTAACAGAGTTACCTTTGTCACAAAACTGTGAAATACTTAACAAATTGTGCTTGAGGCCCTCGACCAAAAATACATTATCAATAGCATGGGAACGTGACCTTCCTATCTTGCCAATAGCAATATCACCTTTCATATTATCACCAAAGGTAACAGTTCCACAATAGTAGGCATCCAGTGAGAGAAATCTAGTTTTATCTCCAGTCATGTGCTTAGCACAACCACTGTCGAGGTACCAAGTGTTGTTCCCCCTCACTGGAACCTGCAAGAAGAATTAAACGTTAGAGTCAGGAACCCAGGTTTCCTTGGGTTCCTGTGTAACATGGGTTAATTCATTTTTCTTTACCCAGATTTGTTTTACATGTTTGATATTCTTCTGAGTACTTTGTTCTTTCTTAGGACACTTAGCTTGCTTATGCCCTGTATTGCCACAGAAATAACAAACAATGCTACTAGGCAAGTTGACATACTTCTTTTCTTTCTAGAACTTCTTTTTAAAACCTAAACCTTCAGTATTCTTAGTTTGAGCCTTAGTGATCCATTCAGGAACTCTATACTCCATTGGTTGCTTACCTTTCCTAGCCCTCTCAAGTTCCCCCTCAAGACGTGCCTTATCCGTTTTTAACTCTTCCAACTAATGTTTTAATTTTTCAAAATTCGGATAATCAATAGGTGGAGGAACTTCAGAGTTAGGAGTATCAATAGTAAGTTTTAACAAAGACAATTCCACATTCAAGAGTATGTTATTTTGTTTGAGGTTCTCAATGGTGTCTTTTAAAATTTTATTATCATCAAACAGACTGAAGAACCTGTATTGAATATCAAACTTCATGTTATCAACCCATTCACTGTTCTCTTTGAAAGTTGCTAAAGCTTTATCACTTTGCTGTTTGGATATATGCAATTCCTTTAAATCTTATAGAATTTCCAAAACAGTATTTATTAGATTCTCTTTAGACAGATGTTTTAATTGGTTATAAGAGAACTATACCTCAGACTTAAGCTCCTTTAGCTTGGCAAATTCATCAGTTTTTGCCATTAAACATAAATGAGCAGTTTCTTCTTATGGTTTATCCTCCTCTTCTTCTTCTGAATCTGTATCTCCCCAAGCAGCAAGCATGTCTTTCTTAACGTTGTCCTTGGTGAAGTAAGGCTTGTAGACTCTTGACTCCTTGGATTTCTTCTTGCCTTTAGTCTTTCCTTTCTATCCATCCTGAACAGGACAATCTTTGATAAAATGATCCTTTGATCCACACTTGAAACACGTTGTGTTTCTGGAACTTGTATACTTCTTGTTCCTGTCAAACTTCCTATTGTTCATCATCTTCTTAAATTTCCTCACTAGCATAGCCATCTCTTCTTCATCAACTTCAGATCCTTTTGAGTCTTCAGCCTTGAGTGCCAAACCTTTATTTCTAGAACTTTCAGTGTTGAAACTCAGATGAAGTTCATGAGTCATCAATGATCCAGGTAGTTGTTCCATATTGAACTTAGTAAAGTCCTTAGCTTCCTGTATGGCAGTAACCTTGGATCTCCAACGTTCATCTTGTGGTAGGCTTCTTAAGATCTTCCTTGCCTGTTCATTAATAGGAATTTGCCTGCCAAGGGAATTCAGTTCATTAATAATATCATTGAATCTAGTAAACATCTCTTCTATGGTCTCTTTGGATTGCATTTCAAACCTTTCATACCTAGACATCAATAAATCTATTTTAGAACGTTTTACCTCGTTAGTACCTTCATGAGTTACCTGTAACAAATCCCAAATCTGTTTAGCAGACTTGCATCCCATGATACGATTATGTTCATGGGGTCCAAGTCCACAGTGCAGATACTTTATAGCTAAAACGTTCATTTCAAGTTTCAGATAATCTTTATCATAATCAGAAATAGATTTAGAAACTACCTCATGCTTCTCATTGGTTTGAGTTATTTCAAAATCACCAGTTTCAATTACACGCCAAACCTGGTAATTTTCGGCCTTGATGAATATCTCCATCCTGTTCTTCAAGTAGGCATAAAACTTACCCTTGAACATAGGTGGTCGTTGGGTAGAGTACCCTTCTTCAAGTTTCTCCTTGTAATTCATCTCTCCAGGAACTTACTCAGCAAAATTATCTGCTTGCACGTGAGAACCGTGCTCTGATACCAATTGTTAATTGAGATGAACACTACAAGAGGGGGGGTGAATTGTAGTTGAGTTCCTAAATAATAATTTTACAAATATAAAACAGAACAAAATAGAAACTTGCGATGCACACAGATTTTACGAGGAAACCTTCTAGTACCCAACTAGAATTAAAACCTCGACCCTACCTTAGGAAATTCAAACACAAATAATTCCACTATAATAGGGCAAACACCAAGTTACAACCTATTATAATTCAGCCACTACTCTCAAGTTCTAGAATGAACTTTCTACAGAACAACACCTTGTTCTACCCAGTTTGAGTCCCACACTCAAACTCACTCGTACTCCCTAAGTACAGATCTTCCCCCTTCTCACCAGAAGCTCTCTCTTTATGCAATGATAAAAATACTCTCACCCTAATAAACCCGAAACCAAATACAAGAATTAACACCTAGTATATGATCGGCAAGCTATGCATGAAACTCGAAACTAATATGACAGTATGATAAGCTTGGCAAACTTACACAACTATAGCTTTGTAAATTCTTCACGCATTAAACTCACAAAAACATAGGCTCATGTTATTCTCTACTATTTATACGAGTATTACCTGTATAAACAATAGGTTTACATAAAGATAAATAAGTAAAACTTAACTTATCTTAAAACACGGTTTTTTAATTAAATCCTTTGAAGAAAATCTTTTCAGAAAATAAGATAGAAATATTTAATTAAAAAGCATAATATCTTTTTAACAAACTGATTTCAAAAGATAAATATTTATTGAAAATCTTTTTCCGATTTTTATCTTTTATCTTTTCCGATTTTAATTTATTTGCCAAGCTAACTGTCACGCTTCTAATAAGTTTCATGCATATCCTACTTAACATATTTAACAATGAATCTATAAGATAAAATCTTAACTAAAACATTGTTGCGCTGTACTCTTGTTCTGGTAGGTTTACTTGGACTCCACGCTTACTAAGTTCCTCCAAATATCTTAGTCAGCAATCTTCAAGTTCCTGTGAGGGAACTCAGCTCCTGTTAGGAAACTCTTCTTTTATATTGAATAACTTTCTTGATAAAGAACTCCTTCAAGTCTTCTCAGCTTTAGTTACTTCTTCCATCTCCAAGATCAATTTCACATAGGCTGCACAAACACTTGAAAAGTCTTTATGAGATGAGTTTGCTGTAACTTAAGTTCCTCATCATCAAAACCTTTAAACATCAACATCTATTGCTTGTCATATATTTATCAGGTTCCTTATATACATATGTGACATTGCTCAGGTTACTTGTATCCTTTTCTAAGAATAACTTTTTCTTTCTATGCACAACTTAACAAACACGTTAGATAGATAGTCATCATTAGTTTACCATCAACAAAACCTAATTACTCAACACCAGTCTAGTGGCTGGACATTGCTGTATGCCGCCTTACATCCGAAGAGGGCCGACTGCATGAAATGAGGAGAATACGGGCCGTAGACCATAGGTGGTACGTACGGTGCATTCCCAATCATCTGAGGGCCAAAATCGGCGGTATTACCGCCTGTATGACTGTCATGCAAGGATTGTAGATTCCTTGCAGATGTATTCTTAAAGCTGTCTGGAAAGCTTGAAGTGGAAGCTAACTCAGACAATTGTTGATTCCTCTTGCAAGTGATGATCTCCAGGGCATCAAGAGTTGATTTTTTGATTCCCACCGGTTGTTCACTCTGGCGGTTATTGTTGGTATTCCTCTTAGGTAGAAGAATCTTGGACCAGTCAAGGGTTCGGCTGCCTTCTCCTTTGGATGCGGAGTTGGCTGCCTATCTCTGACTAGCTTCATTTTTCTTGAGTAGTCATCCTTGCCAATTGACCCATACTTGGGCCAACCCGGCTCTTGGTGATCAGATCCTTGATTTCACCCTTGAAACTAGTCATGAATTTCATGAGTTCGTCTTGAGTGACTGGAGCATATCCACTGGCCGTATAGGTTTCCCCTTCCGGCTGACCAAGAGGTTAACTTGTACCCTCTTGGCTTGCACCCCGCTCCAAAGTGTCCCTGGGCCGGATGTGCTTGGTTATCAGAGAGCCATCATTGGCGTTATAGGTTTCGACCTAAGGATCATCGTCCTCTTGGTCAGCAAAGACCTCCGGTTGGTCTATTTGATGCTTATGAGGTGGTACAGACTCTTGAACCATCCTTGAGGTACTCTCCCCATAGACGGCGCCAAATGTTTTGGGTGTTTTTGTCCCTCGAGAGAGTTACGTCACAAAAATTGGTCCGGCTCGAGCTGCACCTGCAAAACAAAGGAGACTCCGGTTGTAGGAGCTCCGCCTTCGACGATCAAGTTAGTAACTTGAAAGAGAATAAAGGGTGCGGAAATTTAGGTGGGTATCTTCTTGGATTCCAAGCTCAGGGGTTTCTCTAATGTGAGAGAAAGTAGGTGTAATAAATGATTGATTGTCCCCAAAATGGGGAAATATCTCCCTATTTATAGGGTCGTTGGAAGGTGTGCCCCTATCTAGGTCACTTGACCTAGATTTTAGTGGGTTGCGCCGTTTTACAGCGCTTCTTGGGAATTAGGCCCTTGAAGGCCGCAACTTCAGAAGATATCTGAAGGGGACACATGTCAGATGGCTATTGGGCCACTTTGACCATCCTGGGTTTGACACGTGGCCTTCTCTTATTGGTCCACATGTCTAGGGTATTTTTACCCTAAATAAGATACATTTTCCGGAGCACGCTTGCGGCCTTCAGGATCCTGCGACCACCTAGAGCAACGGGTGCGCATTTTTTTTCTTATCCTGTTGTCAGGGACCTTTTCTCCTGACAGAGGTAGTCGAGTGCTACTCTACTACCTGCTTGCTGTTCGCGACCTTGCTTCAGTCGGGTCGTATGATTGGGCCAGCCTGGCCTATGCGGACTTCCTAGTTGGACTGCGACTTTCTAGTCGTCATAACTCCTTCAAGGGAGACATCGCACTTTCCACCTTTTGGAGAGTCGTAAAGGTACACTT